TTCCAAAATGAATGCCCATCACTGCACTTAGGCTCATTAAGGAAACCTGCATACATTATCAATTACTTTATCTGCTTGTTTTTTTTTTTTTTTTTTTTTTTTTACAACAGTTCCATTATAGGTTGAGGACCAAAACTCGCCAAATCGCTATAAAACCATTATATTCTTCTGATAAATAATTATTATAATTATCTGATAAATGGTTTAGCTATAATATCTGAGGGTTTCCGCATGAGGCAGTTTATAGGGGCCAAAAAGCAAACAAAACACACGAGTAGAGTTCCTTTGTCATCTCATGAGATTAATCCTGTGACTTCATTGCGCACATAAGAGTGTTCTCAAAAGCCACTTGCGCAGAAACAATGCGCCTCTCTAACATGACAGAATCTTTGGGCAGGGCTGTGCCTCTGTCGGTGGACTTCAGTAAACCCGAAGATTATTTCATCTTCATTTTCCAGATTTTATTTGCCACAACTACTGTTACGACAGCTGGAACAGTAGTCATCGGCATCTTGTCCACCAGAGCTCTGCGCATTCAAAACAGATTTATTTTCATGTTAAACACTAGTATTGCTGACACGCTCATCGGGTTTTCAGTGTATTATCTCGGTCTGTTCGATGTCGATTTGTCTAAAAACAGAACCTACTCTGTTTTATCTTCCCTTTTAGGCATCAATGTATTAACGTTTATGTTCGCGCAATTTGACCGCTATTTTGCTGTGTGCCACCCATTTATCTACAGCCGCTTCGTAACGAGACAATGTGTGATATGCATTAATGTTTACAGCTGGGTTTACACTTATGGCCACTTGATCATCAGGAATATGCTACCCCTTTATCAAGCTATACAAATGTATTTATTCACCATTCTCGTGTTTCAAATCATAGTGCTTGTCAAAGTGGCCATGACATTGAAATTGTATCTCATTGCGAGGTACCAGCTTGAAAGAGATCCTCCCAGCGCCGAGAAAGAAAGCAAGAAGGAATCTTTGAGAATAATCATTTTTGTTGTCATAAGCTTCTTGGCGTTGTGGTCTCCAGCTTTAGTGAATATTACAATTAAATTAATGACTGGAGGAGGTTTGAATTTTAGAAATGAGGGCACCAATTTGTTCGCCATCATGGCTCGTTTCAATGCCTTGTTCACACCATCTCTGTACATCTGGGGGAGTCCGGCTCTGAGAGAAGCCGCGATAAAGACTGTGTGGGGGAAAGTGTGCCCTAAATGCAGCAGGAGGTAACTGACACAATGCCAGCTAATTTATCATTTTGCCTCTGTTCTTTTTTAATCCAGATGATGCAGTCAATACTCATTTCAATTCTCTTTCCTTCAGAGTCGCCTCTTTTCCTGTGAAGTCGTGTGTCAACAGGTGTAGTCCTGCCGGGACCCACTGATGCGACTTTCTGTCACTTCTTTTTTTTCTCCCCAAATAGAGGAAATAAAATATGCACATTTAGCTTGATCGCTTGAATTTCATTTGACACTTTAATAGAATTTAATGCAATAACATTAATAAAGACAGTCAAAGGAGCTTGCAAAGAAAAGCGTCTGGACTTCTTTAAGTTACTTGAAGACGTTTCACCTCTCATCCGAGAGGCTTCTTCAGTTCTAAGGTCAAATGGTGGAGAGTCCCAGATATAACCCTAGTGGGAGTGTCCCCCCACAGAGGGACA